AATGGGAAGGGGAACGGAAATGAACAACCACAAAAAGGCAAACCTCAAAAGTCCTGGTTTTCAGGGGCTGGAGCAATAGCACAGCGGGTGGGGCGTTTGCCTTGCACGCGGCGGACCCGGGTTCGAGTCCCAGCATCCCATAGGGTCCCCTGAGCACCGCCAGGAGTGATTCCTGAGTGCAGAGCCAGGAGGAACCCCTGAGCATCACCGGGTGTGACCCAAAAAGCAAAAAAAAAAAAAAAAGTCCTGGTTTTCTCAACCTGAATCACAGAATTGGTCCCAACTGAGCACCAGAGACGACAACAACAACAACAGCAACAACAACAACAACAACAAGGCCTTTGGGGCTGGAGCGATAGACCAGTGGGGAGGGCGTTTCCCTGGCACACGGCCGACCCGGGTTCGATCCCCAGCATCCCATACGGTCCCCTGAGCACCGCCAGGAGTGATTCCTGAGTGCAAAGCCAGGAGTCAGCCCTGAGCATCACCGAGTGTGAATCCAAAAGCAAAAAAAAAAACAAAAACAAAAACAAAAGGCTTTCCCTCATCTGCCCACCAAATGTCTATGGTCACATCAGTATTCAACAAACCAAGCTAACAGACCAAGCACCCAAGCACTTTCTGGCGTGCAGACCCTTTCATCATTTCACCTCACCTCAATGACGCTCCCTTAGAATTCCTAGTCAGTTACTTAAGCTGCCAAACGCGTGCCTGAAACGCTCTCCACGTCTGCCGGGAAACAGGGGCTGCTTTACGGTACCACTCTGCTCGGGTGGGTCCCCGTAGTCGCTCCCTCTGTCACCTACTCCAGCCAGAGCCTCGAATATAACTCCCGTGAGTCACACAGTCTTACCCCAGGCCCTGGGAGCCAGCACTAACAATGGCCACACAAGACCACAGAAGTTTCCAGAAACACCGGCATTCCCCCCACCCCCTCACAAGCTCAGCGCTGCCACCAGGCCACCACCGGCCCTTTCAGCATTCGGGGCCGGTGGTGACCTCAGACACGGGCACATCTGCCCACCTGGCTGGGCCAGGCAGGCCAGCCACCTGGCGAGAGCCTCGGGAAATTCCAGGTCGGGAAGGACCGGCCGCCCGGGGTTGCAGGAGTCTTGAATGACCTCCAACTCTCGGGGGCTGACGTATTCCGAGGCGCTCACTGAACAGGAATCACTGGACGGTCGAGTTCACTGAAACCGTCCACAGCCCGGCTGGCAGAGAGCATCAGACGCCAAACAGAAGGACGAGTTCAGAACGGGCGGGGTTGTACTTACCCAGCTTGTTGGCGCCCTCTGCTGGGTACTCGGGAAACTGGCCCTCGGAGGGGACGCTGACGGTTCTCCTCAGGCAACGCCCTTTGGAGGCGTCTGTCTGCTGGTCCAGGCCTCCCTCCACGGGCATCTGGTCAACCAAGAGAACCGAGAGGACACTTAGGGGAGCTCCTTCGAAAGGGGGCTCTTTGCTGACCTGGTTTGGGGTGTGTGTGTGTGTGTGTGTGTGTGTGTGTGTGTGTGTTCATTTTGGGCCTTGAGTCTTTTGGGCGATGCTCAGGGCTGACTCCCGGCTCTGGACTCAGGAATCACTCCTGGCGGTGCTCGGATACCCAATGGGATGCCGGGGATCGAACCTGGGTCAGCCGTGTGCCAGGCAAACTCCCAACCTGCTATCTTATAGCTCCAGCCCAAACTGCTATATCTTTCAGTTTCGTAATTCATTTGATCTTTGTAATTTCTTTTTTGTTTTTAGCTTTTAGTTAGCCTTTTAAAGGGCTGGAGCGATAGCACAGCGGGTAAGGCGTTTGCCTTGCACGCGGCCGACATGGTCGACCAGGGTTCAATTCCTCCGCCCCTCTCGGAGAGCCGGGCAAGCTACCGAGAGTATCTCGCCCGCACAGCAAAGCCTGGCAAGCTACCCGTGACATATTCTTTTTTTTTTTTTGCTTTTTGGGTCACACCCAGCTTTGCACAGGGGTTACTCCTGGCTCTGCCTGCACTCAGGGATCACTCCTGGCGGTGCTCAAGGGACCCTATGGGATGCTGGGAATCGAATCCGGGTCAGCTGCGTGCAAGGCAAATCCCCTACCCGCTGTGCTATCGCTCCAGCCCCGTACCCGTGACATATTCGATATGCCCAAAACAGTAACAAGTCTCACAATTTGTTGTGAGACGTTACTGGTGCCCGCTCGAGCAAATTGAAGAACACCGGGAGGACAGTGCGACAGAGCTACAGTTAACCTTTTATGGAGGTAAAGTTGGTTTCTAAGAGGGGAAATGTTTCATTGCTGTAGGGGTATATTTTTTTGTTTGTTTAGTTTTGGGGTCACACCCGGCGATGCTCAGGGCTGACTCCTGGCTCTGCGTTCAGGAATCCCTCCTGGCGGTGTTCGGGGAACCCTATGGGATGCCGGGGATCGAACCCGGGTTGGCTGCTTGGACGGCAAACACCCTCCCCCCATGCTAACTCTCCTGCACCAATAATAATTTTTAAAGGAGAGGGCTATTAGATAAAAATAATCTCGACCATCTACATTGTCTTCAATTTTAGAATCAAATTAGTTTGGGGGGGCCTTTTCTTTTTTTTTAATTTGTTTTGGGGCCACACTTGGTAGTGCTCAGGGCTCTGAGCTCAGAGATCACCCCTGGCAGTACGCAGGGGATGGGGGGTGTGTGGGGGAGGACCAGATGGGGTGCTGGGGATGGAACCCAGGGCATCATTGTGTGCCAGGCAAATGCGCTACCCACTGCCCTACCTCTCTGGCCCCCGAACTGAAGATGTTTTAGAGATACTTAATGAAACACATTTTCCAGGGAAACGGAAACAGATTCTTACATAAAAGAGCATATTTTCTTTCAGAACGGAGATAAGATTTTTAATCACAACCTGCCCTCCCCCCCCAGGACTCCCCCCACCCCCGCACACATATAGAAATTATTTCTGGAATAATTTTGAGAACACAGGAAGCTCAATTTGGGTAGAAGGAACATGCATGTCATGGAAGTCTGTAGTACTGCCTACCACCCTCGAGGCTACCTTCACAGGGCAGAGGGTCTCACTGATCCCCCTTTCAGAAAAAAAAAACACCACTCAACGCCCCACCTGGGTATCCACCTTCTCTAAGTGAGCACACAGAAATCACCCCCAATTGCATCACAGACTTCTTTGACCCCGGAGGGTGGAGGAAGGCACGCTCCGGGCACGACCCCCAATCACTGAGCTGTGGGCAGTGCGAATAATTATTCATCTTGCAACACTGCAATTATTCATCTGGCCACAGACGTGAGTTAACTGTTCCAATCTTATCCGATCTGCGATTCTTACACCACCATGGATAAGTATTTGATAGGGCAGCCCTGGGTGCAGCTGAAGCAAGGGGGAAAGCCCCCAAGAGGGGCCGGAGCGATAGCACAGCGGGGAGGGCGTTTGCCTTGCACGCGGCCAACCCGGGTTCGATCCCCTGCATCCCATAGGGTCCCCTGAGCACCGCCAGGAGTGATTCCTGAGTACATGAATCAGGAGTCAGCCCTGAGCATCACTGGGTGGGACCCAAAAAGAAAGAAAAAAAGGCCCCCAGGAGCCAAGAAGCTGATAAGCACCAAGTCTGGCGTGATTTGGAAATGTGATGAGGCCGGTTTCAGCAGAAACTGGAGAAGCTGCGTATCACCCCAGAGTATACGGTGAATGGGCTGGGAGAATTTTAATCCCAAACCACGCGCCCTCCAGAGACACAAGGGCCGCTCGCGGGCTCAGACAGAGTGGGAGTCCCTGAATGTGGGCCTGACACCTTCCTCCACATATCCTACAAGCAAATATACAAAACACACGGACTTGGGGCTGGGGAGATAGCACAACGGATAGGGTGTTTGCCTTGCATGCAGCCGACCCGGGTTCGATTCCCAGCATCCCATAGGGTTCCCTGAGCACCTCCAGGAGTGATTCCTGAGTGCAGAGCCAGGAGGAACCCCTGTGCATCGTCGGGTGTGACCCAAAAAGCAGAAAAAAAAAAAAAGAAAAAAACCACATGGACTTGATCCAATCCCTCCCAGTCTTGCTTTGGGTTTTTTCTTTTCTTTTTCTTTTCTTCTTTTTTTTCCGGGGGGTTCTTTTTGGGTCCCACCCGGCGATGCTCAGAGCTGACTCCTGGCTCTGCACTCAGGAATCACTCCTAGCAGTGCTCGGGGGGACCCTATGGGATGCTGGGGATCGAACCCAGGTCAGCTGCGCGCAAGGCAAACGCCCTCCCACTATACTATCGCTCCGGCCTCTGAGAACTGTCTTAACTCGTGATGACTCCTAACACCGAGAATGCTCAGAGAAAAGAGGCCATTCAGTCACTGCCACAGAACTCGACAAGCGTGAAGTTAAGTGCAGAAGAGGTAATAGGGGACTCGGAGCTTTGGGCAGTCTAACTGCTGTTTCCAAGAATTCATCTCATAAGGGCCAGGCTTGGAAGCCGGCCTCACATGCTGGGGGAAAAGGCAGCTGGGATGGAGAAGGGACCACTCAGTGAAGGATGCTTGGAGGGCTCGCTCGGGATGGGGGATGCGTGATGAGAGTAGACTATGGACCAAACACAGTGGCCACTTAGTATCTGTATTGCAAACAGTAACACCCAAAGGGGGGGGGGAGAGAGAGAGAGAGAGAGAGAGAGTAAAAGGGAATGTGCCTGCCACAGAGGCAGCAGGGGATGGGGTTGAGGTGGTGGGAGGGATACTGGGACCATTGGTGGTAGAGAATGAGCACTGGTGGAGGGATGGGTACTCGAGCACTGTATGACTGAAACGTCATCACGAAAGTATCTAAGTCTGTAACTGTACATCATGGTGATTCATTTAAAAAAATTTGCTCGAGGTAAAGGCCCTCCCGTTGTTCGTCGATTTTGCTCGAGCGGGCCCAGTAACGTCTCCATTGGAGACTTTGTTGTTACTGTGTCTGGCATATCGAATACTCTCGGTAGCTTGCCGGGCTCTCCGAGAGGGGCGGAGGAATCGAACTCGGGTCGGCCATGTTGGCTGCGTGCAAGGCAAACGCCCTACCGCTGTGCTATCGCTCCAGCCCTGAGCCCCCCCCCTTTTTTTTTAATTTTTAAAAAAAATTTAAGAATTAAAAAAACAAAGAATTCATCTGAGCAATGCCGCATTGTCAGGCTGCAGTGTTCATCTGCTGGGATACTAACTGGCCCACTTTTGGGACTCCAAGCACAAAAGGAATATTTGAATGAAAAAAGGCGAGGCTGGCTGGAAGGTCTGTTTCTGCCCAAAGAAAAGAAGGCCCTCAGTCCCGTTCTTTTGTATTTTTCACCCGTAGCCCCTCAGAGGGGTTCCTGATTGGCTTCCTGCCCTGCCCCCCCTCAGCCCCCTTCATCTCTGTCTTTCTTGGCCTTATCTCCTGCAAGCAAAATGGAATTTCAACGCCAGTGGAGTGCTCGGTCCTCTCTGGGATGGGCTGGAGCCAAGCCAGTGGGGCCTTTCCTGGCAGCTGGGCGTGGAGGGACATTTGAAACACTGGGCACTGTCTCCTTGGCGTCCCATGCTGGTGGACAGAAGCCACTTAGTGAGTTATTTCTGAAGGTAAGATTCCTGAGGGGGCCAGAGCGATAGCACAGCGGGGAGGGCGTTTACCTTGCATGCGGCCGACCCGGGTTCGATCCCCAGCATCCCATAGGGTCCCCCGAGCACCGCCAGGAGTGATCCCTGAGCACAGAGCCAGGAGTAACCCCCGTGCCTCGCCAGGTGGGACCCAAAAAGCAAAAAAAAAAAAAAAAAGATTCCTGAGAGCCTGGTCTCCCCTTCTTCTGGGTCCCAAGTGGCTCTATGGGTACCAAACTCTTCCCAGGAATGATCCCCAGGCAGGAAATGTGTGCAGCTAAGAGAGGGCGATTAAAAGATGCCCCTACCTTAGGCTGGAGCAATAGCACAGCACGGAGGGTGTTTGCTTTGCACACAGCCGACCTGGGTTCGATTCCCAGCATCCCATAGGGTCCCCCACGCACCGCCAGGAGTGATTCCTGAGTGCAGAGCCAGGAGTCAGCCCGGAGCATCACTGGGTGTGACCCATAAAGAAAAAAAATAAATAAAAATAAAAGATGCCCCTACCCTGAATACAGGTGTGCTATTAGACTCACCCAATCTTCCCACATTTCAGCAGCACCCGCTAAGGATTCAGCCTAAACCCTGCCAGCACCCACCTAAGTTACGTGTCTAATACAGCAACCATCAAGCCCCGCTCCTGCGACGGGTTGGTCAAGGTTCAAACGGCCTTTTTAGACCACCCGAATGAGGAACTTATTTCACTAACAGGAGAGAGAGAGAGATCAAATAGTTGTACTGGGCTGGAGCGATAGCACAGCGGGTAGGGCGTTCGCCTTACAAGTGGCCAACATGGCCAACCCGAGTTCGAGTCCTCCGCCCCTCTCGGAGAGCCCGGCAAGCTACCGAGAGTATTCGATATGCCAGACACAGTAACAACAAAGTCTCCAATGGAGACGTTACTAGGCCCGCTCGAGCAAATCGACGATCAACGGGAGGGCCTTTACTTTACTTACTTTACTTAATTAAAAAAAATTTAAATAAAATCTCAAAAAAATTTTAAATAATAAAAATAAATAAAAATGAACCAGGATACATAGGCATGAGTAGTGGTGAGAAATTTCGAGCAAAACATAATGCCCCAAATTAGAAGAGTATTGGGGAAACTGTCTGCCATAAAGGCAGGGTGAGGACTGGGATGTGGGGGGGATGACGGGTGTGGGGGTGGGGGGTGGATACTGGGGACATTGGTGGTGGAGAATGTGCACTCGTGGAGGGATGGGTGTTCCATCATTGTATGGGTGAAGCTCAAACATGAAAGCTTTGTAACTCTTATCTCACGATGATACACTGTAGCACTGACCTCCCATTGTTCATGGATTTGCTCGAGCGGGCACCAGTAACGTCTCCATGGTGAGATTTGTTGTGACTGTGTTTGGCATCTCTAATACGCCACGGGGAGCTTGCCAGGCTTTGCTGTGCGGGCGGGATACTCTCGGTAGCTTGCCGGGCTCTCCGAGAGGGACGGAGGAATTGAACCCGGGTCAGACTCGTGCAAGGCAAACGCCCTAACCACTATGCTATTGCTCCGGCCAGATACAATTTAAAAATAAAAAAAAAAAAGAAGTAATGTGGAGTTCATGCCCAATTCAATCAGCTTAACCAAGGACTGAACAAATAGCAGGACGCCTACATTAATTTGGTTTTTTCTTTTTTTTTTGCTTTTTGGGTCACACCTGGCAATGCAAGGGGTTCCTCCTGGCTCTGTGCTCAGGAATTACCCCTGGCGGAGCTCAGGGGACCATATGGGATGCTGGGAATCGAACCCGGGTCGGCCGTGTGCAAGGCAAACGTCCTCCCCGCTGTGCTATTGCTCCAGCCCCATGCCTACATTGATTTTTAAAAAATTTTAAAAATGAGCCAGAGGCGAAAGCCCAGGAAACCCAAACCCGCCCTGCAAAAGCCCTCACGAGCCAGCAGAGGGCGAGAGATCGCCAACATAACCAACAACCGTTTTCAAAGGTACCAAGCGCTCTGGGGAAGAGTGGGAGCCTGGATCCCAAACCCAGGAAGCCAGAGGCAGCGCCCAGAGCCAGCTGGTGGGTCGTGGGGAGCCAGAGCCGGCGCCAGAAAGAGGTGATGAGGGGGCGCGGGTGCGAGTCACGCAGACCCGGGAGGCAAAAGTGCCCCCACTCAGGGTGACGGCAAAGCAGGCGGTGGGAACCTGGGGACATTTTCTATTTGTGTGCTTAATTTTTTTTTCAATTTAATTTAATTTTTCCTTTTTGGGTCCCACCCGGCGACGCTCAGGACTGACTCCTGGCTCTGCACTCGGGGATCACTCCTGGTGGTGCTCAGGGGGACCCTACGGGATGCCGGGGATCGAACCCCGGTCAGCTGCGTGCAAGCAAACACCCTCCCCTCTGTGCTATCGCTCCAGCCCCTAACCGGAATTTTCAACTCGCACTCACTCCCTGAGTTTATATGCGCTGACTTAACGCGAACACAGCGCCGTGTAGAGAGTACCCAGTAAACGCTGGTCTTTCTTGCTATTTTAATAAAATTCGTTTCCATAAGATTTAAGTCCCAGATAATCGTCACGGGGAGGAGATGCTAATGGATGTGTGTGGGGGATTGGGTCTCGTTTAAAAATAAAAAAAGACCAGGCTGGAGCGATAGCACAGCGGGGAGGGTGTTTGCCTTGCATGCGGCCGAGCTGGGTTCGATTCCCCCGCCCCTCTCGGAGAGCCCGGCAAGCTACCGAGAGTATCTCGCCCGCGCGGCAAAGGCTGGCGAGCTACCCATGATGTACTCGATATGCCAAACACAGTAACAACAAGTCTCAAAAATATGGAGACGTTACTGGGCCTGCTCGAGCAAATCGATGAACAACGGGAGGACCCAAAAAGCAAAACAAATAAATAAATAAATAAAAGAGTGATCACGGATGCAGGCGGTTCTAGGCGACCAGGTTCTGCGGCACGCGGCTTGCGGAACTGCCCATGGGGTCATGCCCCAAATCTGGGTCCCGCCCTCCTCCTGAGTGCCCCCCACCACCACCACTCTGCCAACGCACCCCCCTCCCTGCCTCTTCCCTTCTGGCCCTCGCGATTCTGCCCTGACCATCAAAGGTTCCGTTTTTACCTGGTAATTCATTTGATTTGATCTCTATCCTAGGAAACGTTTTGTTTGGGGGTCACACCCAGCCACGCTAAGGGGTTACTCCTGGCTCTGTGCTCAGGATCATTCCTAGAGGAGCTCAGGGGACCCTATATATATGTATATACACACGCACACACACACACATATGAGATGCCAGGGATTGAACCCGGGTCGGCCATGTGCAAGCAAGCGCCCTAACCACTGCCCTATCTCTCTGGCCCCCAGCGTGTACTTCTGAGTGGGCCCACGTGCTGGGCCTGAGTCATAAAAGCCATCAAGAGAAAATTGACCGGAATTGGCCGCTAATGATGACTTGGCCTTTACCACACGGAAAAATCAGGCTCCGGGGAGGGCACGGGTGAAGCAACGGGCAAGGGCAATTATATTATAATTTATATTTATATTTATTTATATATATATATTTATAATTAGAATTATCACGGGAACAAAACACACTGCATCCAGAACCCTGAAGGCCCCCTTAAGGTGCTTCCGGAACTGCACGACTGTGCCCTGGACGCAGGGGGGCCCCTCTGGCCCCCTTCCCCGCCCCTCTGCTGGGTCCTGTGCCGAAGGAGGCCTCGAGCTCACTCGGACGCACAGTGACACCGACATGGCGGGGAGAAGCGTGTGCCCCCGCCCCGTCCGCCGCCTGCTGCCCACCCTGTCTGGGCTCTTTGGGGACATGCCAGCACCCACCGGTGGCTGCCTGGGACTTTCTCCTTGCCCTGGCCCGCAGGGCAGGGGGGAGGGCTGCTTTCTGCCGCTGCTAAGGACTGGGTTCCAGGCCCAGCGCCCTCAGGGGGTCCCATCTGCCCAAAGCCTGCCCTTAGGCAGACAGCGCTGGCTTGTTAATGGCAAGGACAGGGAGGGACAGGACGGCCACCATCCCCCTGGGTCCACGCAATCCTATACTCCGACTGCAAATGAGTCCACGGTCTCTCCCCTGCCTCCCCCTCCCTCCTCTCTCTCTCTCTCTCTCTCTCTCTCTCTCTCTCTCCTGCCTCCCTTCCTCTCCCTCTCTCTTCCCTTCTCTTGATCTCTCTCCCTCCCTCTCTCCTTCTCTGTCTGTCTCTCTCTCCCTCTCTTCCCTCCCCCCCTCTCTTATTTTCCCTCCCTCCTTTTTCTTTTCCTCTCTCTCCCCCCTCCCTCCCTCTCCCCCTCCCCCTCCCCCTCCCCCCTCACCTCCTTCTCCCTGTTGAGCAGCACAAGCTGGCTGTCGGTGAGGATGCAGTACTTGCGTTCCCACGTCGTGCTGTCCGTGTAGGGGGACTGGCCGCAGGACAGGCGATGCGTCGGCGGCCCCTTCACATCTGGGGGCCAAGGGGGAGAGACAAAAGCCACAGGTGAGCTTTGGGGCCGAGATCATGGTCAAGCATCAGCCTGGTGGGGGAGCGCGTGCGGGGAGAACTCCCTCCGGGGAAGGGGCCAGGGACCGAGCGCCCACCTGACACCGGGGGCCCTATGCTGGGAGAGGGTGACACTGGGGGGCACCTGTTGGGCCCACCTGAGCCTCCCAAGGCCTCAGGCATCAGCTCCAGTCTGGCTGGAGCGGTGAAGTGCTTGGCCATAGCACGCTGCAGCCACTAGAGGCCAGCAGGCGGCTGGGAACGCAGAAAGATTCCCTCACTCGGCACTGCACCCCGCAAGAAGGGAAACACCAACCAGCCAGCACCTGGTCACTGCAGAAAGCTCTCACTCAAATGCAGTTCTCGCAGAGGGAAGCACACTTCAGGACCTGGTCACTGCAGAGAGAGCTCTCACTCAAATGCAGTTCTCATGAAGGGAAGCATACATTAGGGCCTGGTCACTGCAGGAAGCTCTCACTCAAATGCAGTTCTCATGAAGGGAAGCACATATTAGGGCCTGGTCACTGCAGGAAGCTCTCACTCAAATGCAGTTCTCACAGAGGGAAGCACACTTTAGGGTCTGGTCACTTCAGGAAGCTCTCACTCAAACGCAGTTCTCATGGAGGGAAGCACACATGAGGGCCTGGTCACTGCAGAAAGTTCTCACTCAAATGCAGTTCCCACAGAGGGAAGCACACATTAGGGCCTGGTCACTGTAGGGAGCTCTCACTCATATGCAGTTCTCACTGAGGGAAGCACACTTTAGGGCCTGCTCACTGCAGAAAGCTTTCACTCAAATGCTGTTCTCATGGAGGGAAGCACATGTTATGGCCTGGTCACTGCAGAAAGCTCTCACTCAAATGCAGTTCCCACAGAGGGAAGCACACATTAGGGCCTGGTCACTGCAGGGAGCTCTCACTCAAATGCAGTTCTCACAGAGGGAAGCACACTTTAGGGCCTGCTCACTGCAGAAAGCTTTCACTCAAATGCTGTTCTCATGGAGGGAAGCACACGTTAGGGCCTGGTCACTGCAGAAAGTTCTCAAACGCAGTTCTCACAGAGAAAAGCACACTTTAAGGCCTGTCACTGCAGGAAACTGTCATTCAAATGCAGTTCTCATGGAGGGAAGCACACTTTGGGATACTCGGGAATATTTCTGAGGGTGCCTGAGGGACCATGTGTAGCAGGGAGGGGACCGGGGACCCGCTGGGCGCTCCCTCTAGCCACAGACAAAGTCCGATTTCTGCAAAAATTCAGAAACACGCACCGTCAACCACACAGAAATGCATATCGCCTAGGACGGGGAGTCCGTCCATCACCGCTGCGTTCTGCAGACGCCCAGCCCTCAGTTCGAAGAACGGGAGGCGCTTGCAGAACTGAGCTCACGTTCCCTGAAATGATTTCCCGGATGCCTGAGATGCAGAAATTGCCCCAAGATGCCAACCAGAGCCCAATTTCTATAAAAGTGAACACGCCTGGCGCAAGTAACATTTCCTCTTGCCCAGCCCTAAGCATCCACTAGGATATAAAGGCCACTAGCAGGTGCATTTCCTCTCACCCGGCCCTAAGCATCCAACAGCATCTCTTGGGTGCTGTTATTATTCATGTCACTGTCCTCCCGTTCATCGGTTTGTTCGAGCCGGCCCAGTAACATCTCCATCGTGAGACTTTGTTGTTACTGTGTCTGGCATATCGAATACGCCACGGGGAGCTTGCCAGGCTCTGCCATTCGGGCGAGATACTCTCGGTAGCTTGCCGGGCTCTCCGAGAGGGGCGGAGGAATCGAACTCGGGTCGGCCAGGTCGGCCTCGTGCAAGGCAAACACCTTACCGCTGTGCTGTCATTCCAGACCTTATTTTTAAGATTTTTAAAAATTGAATCACTGTGAGACAGACCCTTACAAAGGTATCTATGATTCGGTTTCAGTCCTACAGTGTCCCAACACCCGTGCCTTCTCTACCAGGGCATATTCCCAGCACCAGGGTCCCCAGGTTCCCTCCCATCTATAGCAGTCTCTCTCTCTCTCTCTCTCTCTCCCTCCCTCCCTCCCTCCCTCCCCCTTTGGGAACTGTGGTTCGCAATACAGATAGATACTGAAAGGTTTATCGTGTACATCCCTTGACCTAATTTAACACTCAGTTCCCATCCACCGTGATCCTTCCCAGCTATTACTGCCATCCTGGTTCCTTCTCTCTCTTACCTCCCTTCCACTCCCCACACACTTGTGGTGGACTCCAAGCCCTGACCAGGCCTCCTTAGCCCCCTGAGAGGGCCTCGTTTTAGACCCAAACGCCAAGCAACGGAGAAACACACCTACTCTATGTGGAAGTGTGCAACTTCTGGACCACACAAGTTTTCATTCAGTGACTAAACGCTGTTCCTAAGCTCGCCGAGCTCACTGATAACCACCTTCCCGGAGCACCTGGAGGGCGCGCTGTAATTTCATCCGGACAGGCATCCGAGGACACGGTCACGGTCACGGTCCTCCTGTTGTTCATCGATTTTCTCGAGCGGGGCCCAGTAATGTCTCCATCCTGAGATTTGTTACTGTGTGTGGCATACTGAATACGTCACGGGGAGCTTGCCAGGCTTTGCCGTGCGGGCGAGATACTCTCAGTAGCTTGCCAGGCTCTCCAAGATGGGTGGAGGAATCGAACCCAGCTCAGCCGGGCTCCAGGCCATCTGAAGACACATGCTAAGCAAAAGACAATGAACACCTTCGCCCGTGGTAATGAGAATCCAGGATTCCCCGTCTAACCAGGATCCTGACAAACGGACAGGAACCAGCCGTGTTTTCTAAACACCCCTGTCTGGAGTGAGCCTGAGTGAATTCTCGTAGAGTCTCGCGGTTTCATGTTCTGGCTCTTTCTGACCTGACTTGGTTCCTGCTTTCTCTGGGGAATGATGAAACAAACGTTCATACCCGAATTTCCAGAACTCGAGTGTGCCAAAAACTCCAGTGTGCCGAAAACACCTCAGATTTATTACTGGCTTGATTTTTTTTTGGGGGGGGTCCCACCCAGTGATGCTCAGGGGTTCCTCCTGGCTCTGCACTCAGGAATCATTCCGGGCTGTGCTGGGGGGGGGGGGGGGGCCTTTGGGATGCCGGGGATCGAACCCAGGTCAGTTGGACGGGAGGTAAGCACCTACCCGCTGTGCTTATTTCTCTCTGATCCCAGCAATTTTTTTTTTTTTTTTTTTTTGCTTTTTGGGTCACACCTGGCGATGCACAGGAGTTACTCCTGGCTCTGCACTCAGAAGTTACTCCTGGCAGTGCTCAAGGGACCATATGGGATGCTGGGAATTGAACCCTCGTCAGCCGCATGTAAGGCAAACGCCCTACCCTCTCCAGCCCCTAAATATTTTATTTATGCATTTTGGGCCACACCTGGTGATGCTCACGGCTGACTCCTGGCTCTGTGCTCAGGAATCACTTCTGGTGGTGCTCGGGGGACCCTACGGGATGCCAGGGATCGAACCCGGGTTGGCTGCATACAAGGCAAACGCCCTCCCCGCTGTGCTATCGCTCCAGCCTCCCACTGGCTTGACTTTGATTTCATGTTTGGTCACTGCAAGTTTAAAAACCTTTTACTGTTACCAAATTCTGTACAGATCTCCTACCCCCGGCCCAATTAGACTGTGTGACCCACACCTTAAGGAAGGTTCTAGAGCCTTGGGTAAGAGGCTGATTGATTTCTCCCCAGGACCAAAGAAAGAAGAAAAGACACACATGAAGACCTTTGCCCGCGAAAATGAGAATAGAGGCTTCCAAGTCTAAACACAGAGGATCCTGACAAAGGAAAAAAATGAAAAACAGATTTCCAGATTTTATATGGAAAAAAATCTGGTTTTTATGTCTAAATCTAAAAGTCCCCAAACTTGGGGGCTGGAAAGATAGCATAGCAGGGAGGGTGTTTGCTTTGCATGCAGCAACCAGGGTTTGATCCCCGGCATCCCATAGGGTCCCCTGAGTACCACCAGGAGTGAATCCTGAGTGCAGAGCCAGAAGTAACCCATAAGCATCGCCGGGTGTGACCCAAAAAAGCAACAAAACAAAACAAAAAAAGTTCTCCAACTTATTTGACCTACTGCTCCCTTGTCGGAAAAAAATAATAAATCACTCAGTGTGCCCCGGGAAATTGGTCTCCCTTAAGCGAACACACAGAAAGTGGCTTCCCCCATCTGCCCCCAGGGCTCCTACCTACACCCCACTCTGAGAAACCCCCATCAAATTTTGAAATGGATATCCATTTTACTCATCTTTCACATTTCAGTGATTTATAATGCCCACTTTTGAATGGGGGGGCACATTCCGTGGTGCTCTGGGGTTACTCCCAGCTCAGTGCTCTGAGGATCACTCCTGGCAGAGCTTGGAGACCACGTGGTGCCAGGGATGGAAAATGAGCCATCTGCCCACACTCCCACCTGCTGAGACGCCTCCCTGGACCAGTCACATCATAGAGTCCCAGGAAGACGACTCTATTAGCTGGACACTATTCACGACTGCCAGAGTCTGGAAACAACCTCGGTGCCCAGGAACAGACGACAGGATAAAGAAACTGTGGCACAGGGCCGAAGCGATAGGATAGCGGTAGGGTGTTTCCCTGGCACGCGGCCGACCTGGGTTCGATCCCCAGCATCCCATAAGGTCCTACGAGCACCGCCAGGAGTGATTCCTGAGTGCAGAGCCAGGAGTCGGCCCTGAGCATCACTGGGTGTGACCCAAAAAGGAAAAAGAAAAAAAAAATAGAAGAAACGATGGCATATCTATACAGTGGAACACTACACAGCTGTTAGGGGAAATGAAGTCATGAAATTTGTCTATAAATGGATGGACAGGAAGAGTAGCATGCTGAGAGAGATGAGTCAGAAGGAGAGGGACAGATATAGAATGACTGCACTCATTTGTGAGATATACACACACACACACACACACACATATAAAACTGTCACTGTCACTGTCC